ATATATATATATATATATATATATCAATTAGAAGTCCATGGTTTATTGGTTGGCCGAGCTGAAGTGCGGCACTGTTATTAGTATTACTTTAGACCTTGTTTCATGAATTAGGGTCAGACTTAGTGTTGATATATTCTTAGTTAATATATGAGAATATATTGTGTCATAAAAATCAAACAAATATAGAAAAAATGTTAAAAATTTATCTCTTCTCCTTTTACAAATTAGATGGATTTTTTTTATACTATTATGAGAAAATGGAGCATTTCAACTTTTACATTGACTTATGTTTTTATACTTAATTTTTGTTTTGTATTTTTATTTTGATAATACTATATTTATAATATCATATATAATTAAGAACTTACAAATTATAATATAATATTAAATAAGTGAATGCATACAATATTATTAGTAAATTTCTAAATAAAAAAACTAATTACATAACAATACATCATATGATAAGTTTATAATGTCATGAAATACTATAATTATTCATTTAATACATGCAAGAGTCATGCCATGCATTCTAAAACCAAGAATAATAACAAGTTGACGAGAGTTAACTTTATAACAACAAGTTTAACAAGTTGAAGAGTCATGTCATGCAAAAGTTATCAAAAAAATAAATGCACCTATCAAATAGCTTTGAAGCCTGGCGCTCTAACACATTATAATTAATGATCTATACTCCTCACTTCAACACATATTATAATGATCTATACTCCTCACTTCAAGTTAATTATGCGTACTAATAATAATAATAAAAATTTTAAATATGTGTAATATTAAAAACAGTTTTATTAAATTATAGAATTAAGTTTAACTGTGTAACCATTATTTTATTATAAAATGATAAAGAAAGAATTTGACCGTGTTAAAGAAATTTACACCTAATTCGGAGAAAAGCCAAAGGACTTTCACTCTTGGGAAGACCATAAATTCTTGTATCTAGCCCTACTATTTTGAATAATCCATCACTCCTTTATTTCCCGACTTGTGTTCATCTTTAAGAAACTGGCAAGTTTAATAAGGTTTTCCCAAATCCTCTTCCGTTCCTTCATGTTGTTATGGTTTTGAGTCCAAAGCTCCTCACCTTCTCAATCTTCTCCCCATTCATCACCACATTTGTGCCGTCCTGAAGAGCGTTCTGCATTGCTTGATTTCAAAAGCTCTACTAATTTGTTGAAAGACTATTTTGGTAGTAGTGATATAATACAAACTTGGAACGAGAGTAAAGACTGCTGCTCGTGGGAAGGCATCGCATGCGACAAGCGGAATGGTCACGTGATTGGCCTTGATCTCAGTAGTAATTGTATTGAAGCCAATCTAACTAACAATAGTAGTCTCTTCTGCCTTGAGAAATTGCAGAGTCTCAACCTTTATGGCAATTTTTTTTCAATATCCTAACATCTCATTTGGGTTCAACTGTTGGAAGAGTTTGACATATCTTAATCTTTCAGGTACGAGATTTCATTTCTTTTTCTTTTGTTTAAAATCTCCATGCTTCCAAAACTGGTTTCACTTCTTCTAATGTCACAAATCTTTAACCTTGCAGGTTCAGGATACATGGATGGCTCTCTCCTGTTTGATGAGATCTTCTTGCTATCGAAATTGGTTTCACTCAATCTCTCTTATAATTATGATTTGCTTCCTGATGACATAAAGTTTCAAATGCTTGTGCATAACTTAACAGAATTGAGGTTTCTTATCCTTGATTCTGTGAATATGTCTCTGGTTCTGCCTTCTTCCTTGCTAAACTTGACTTCTTCCTTGGAGCATTTGAGCCTTAGCTTTTGTAGTTTGCAAGGAAACTTTCCAAGCCAAGTTTTTCCGCTAACGAAATTGGTTTCACTTGATCTCTCTGTTAATTATGATTTGCTTCTTGACAACATAAAGTTTCAAATGCTTGTGCATAACTTAACAGAATTAAGGTTTCTTATCCTTGATTCTGTGAATATGTCTCTGGTTGTGCCTTCTTCCTTGCTAAACTTGACTTCTTCCTTGGAGCATTTGAGCCTTAGCTTTTGTAATTTGCAAGGAAACTTTCCAAACCGAGTTTTTCAGCTTCCATCTCTCTAGGTTCTTGATTTAAGCTCCAACTCTCATTTAGGAGGTAATTTGCTCGAGTCAAACCAGAGTAGTACCCTCGAGTATTTGAATCTTGCAAACACAAACTTCTCAGGAGAGTTGCCTCATTCAATCGGAAATCTTAAACTCCTAAAGGAATTGAATCTTCATAGTTGCCAATTTTATGGATCAATTCCTAGATCTCTTGCAAATCTTACAGAGATAACTCAACTAGATTTTTCTTCCAACCATATGCGAGGGCAAATACCAGATGTTTTTGGAAAAATACACAAGCTAACTGATTTGAGCTTAGATGCAAACAATTTTGGTGGTGAAATTCTTGCATCAATCTTCAACCTCACCCATCTTACTTTTTTGTCACTATCATCAAATAAGCTATTAGGTCGTGTAGCATCTTGGTTGTTTTCTCTACCTTCTTTATACTATTTAGACCTCCAAAACAACCGCCTTACTAGACATATTGATCATATTGAGAAGCCCAATCTCATTTTAGAAGTAGTTTGTTTGTCCAATAATGAGATAAGTGGTTCCATTCCTAGCTCCTTCTTTGATCTTGTGCATCTTATTGTAGCCAACCTTTCTTCAAATAACTTAACTGGCACCATTACACCCGACATGCTTTCAAAGTTTGTAGACCTTGAGGATCTTGATCTTTCCAATAATAGTTTGCTATCTTTGAGCAATAATGGCACTGCTGTCAACTATTCCTTTCTAAACCTTGGGTATTTTATATTCTCTTCTTGCAACATACACAAGTTCCCCAGTTTCTTAAGGAAGGCAGAGAAATTGTACAAATTGGATATTTCCAAGAACAAGATTTCTGGTCAAATTCAAAAATGGGAAATAGAAGGGATGTCATTAGATACATTAAACCTTTCTTATAACTTCTTGACTGGTATAGATTTATTTGGTTTTGGAAATCTTGAAATTGTTGACCTCGGATCCAACTTACTACAAGGATCACTTCCCATTCTATCAACAACTTGGGATTCTATGCAACAACTCCTCATTTCAGGGAATAATTTGACTGGCGAAATCCCTTCTTCTTATTGTAATTTTACTTCTCTTGAAGTTCTAGTCTTAGCTAATAATAGGTTGGGAGGAAAAATTCCAGAATGTCTTAGAAACTTGAGTGCTCTTAACATCTTAGATCTGCGGATGAATAAGTTCCATGGTAGGATTCCAAATTTTTTTGAAAAAAACTGTTGGTTGATAACCCTTCATCTAAATGGCAACCAGTTGGAGGGGATACTGCCACGGTCTTTGGTTAATTGCAGTAACTTGGAAATTCTAGATGTGGGGAACAACAACTTAAATGATACCTTTCCATGTTGGTTAGGTATTCTTCCATCGCTAAAAGTTCTCATCCTTCGATCTAATTGATTTCATGGTGCCATCAACAATTCTATGGCTGCATTTTACTTCTCTCAGTTGAGAATCATTGATGTCTCACAGAATGACTTTATGGGTCTCCTACTGAGTAACTATTTCAAAATTTTGAAAGGTATGAGAGATATAGCTCCAGATGATAAAGTCAAATTGGAATACATTGATTACTATATGGGATGTTTAAGAGATGGAAGTTGCCGTTATATTTATAAGGATTCCGTGAAGGTAGTAATGAAAGGGTTAGTGGTGGATCTTGTAAGGATCTTGAAAATTTTCACAACTATGGATTTCTCGAGCAATCGATTTCATGGACAGATTCTCGAAGAGCTGGGAGAACTCAATTCACTTTTATTGCTAAACTTATCTCATAATAGTCTTAATGGTCAAATCCCATCATCATTGGGGAAATTAGCAAAACTGGAGTCATTAGATCTCTCATCAAACAAGCTTGAAGGCAAGATTCCAGAGCAATTGACAAAGCTGACGTTCCTATTTGTTTTGAATCTTTCACACAATGAAGGATCACCCTGGAAATGGTGAAAAACTCACCGTATCCCTGAGTGGTACATTTTCTTTTTCTTTTTGGATGGAGTTGTTGGCTGCAACAACCAATACACTTGGTTGTATATTGCTCTTAGACACTCAAGTCACTTCTTGTGGTGCTACTGTGAAAGGTTTGTATAGTCTCATTAATTTTGAATATATTTTTAAAGGCTGGAGCACTCTTTTCTGAACAATGGATTTTGCTTATTGTTTACGGAATATAGTGATGCAAACTGCTTGTTCATGGAGATGTTAGTCAGTAGAGATTGCCCATGTCAAGTTCCTCTTACTATTAACCAACAGAGTGACCATTGCCTCTATCTAGCTAGTCATGCATGGATGCATCTTGGAAAGGAATTCTTGAGGTATGCTTAAATCCTTCAAATATGTTTAGATAGGAGATAGCATAAGTCTGCAGATTGAAATTAATTTTCTTGCTATACTTTGATTATAAGGTTTGACGCCACGAATCGCACAACTTTGAGTGGGTTCCACCTAGTTGTGCATTTCATTTGGTAACCAATGTCTTTTTGCCCACATGAGACCGTCTGGTTGTACCTAACTAGAAATTAAAATTATTGTAATGCTAAAGCTACTTGTGACAACTAATAGTTGTTTATAATCTAGTTTTTTGTGAGAACCATAATTAACAAAAACTAGCATGAGAAACCTCTAATGAATGTGATGGAAAAGGATTCTTATGATTTATAAACATTTTATTGGTTAGAATACTATTGATGCAATTTTCCATTATTGTAATGAAGAATTCTTCAACTAGAAGACATGGAATAAGTTAAGGTTTTCTGGAATATTGGACTATATATTAACATGTGAAAAGTATAGAGAAGAAAGTTTTGTGTGAAACCATAATTAACGTATAAAAAGTGTAGAGAAGAAAGAGAAAAATTAATTGCTCTAATACTTGATGAAAATGAATGAAAGCAAAAGGGGAAAGGGAAGTCATCGTTGGGCTAGAAGCATGTGGTGTGGGTTTAGTATATCAACGTGTGGAATAAGTCAAGGTTTTTTGAAATATTGGATTATATATTAACATGTGAAAAGTGTAGAGAAGAAAGTTTTGTGTGAAACCATAATTAACGTATAGAAAATGTAGAGAAGAAAGTGAAAAATTAATTGCTCTAATACTTGATGAAAATGAATGAAAGCAAAAGGGGAAA